AAAAAGATAAGTTGAATTTAAGACTATACTTCTTTAGCTAGAATTGTTTTAGGTACACTAGAAGTTCGAAAAGCATACCAGTTTACTGAAATAAAATTGTTTTGTATATTATGATTTATATATTAGCAGGTATTTCAAAAGTTTTGAAAATTCGCTCTCATATATTTTTACTGTAAGTCATTTGAAGTTATATATTTGACACACTTTTCAATAATGTTGCAAGTTATTGAATCAAAATATAATAAGTATGTCAAAATTACAAACGTAAAAGTAATGCTACTTTTTTGCGTATCGTTTAAAATATGTTTATAACTAGATTTTAATTCGTTTAAAGTTGATTATTTAATGAAAATTCAAGCTTTTGGCATGCCATTTTGATAAAAAATTTAAATATAAATAGAACTTTAATTGAACCTTAAAGAGCACTAAATAATTTTAAATAAAAGTTTGAAGTTTTTGTTTATGTAATAAAACATTTTTTGTGGTAATTAAAAACGTACACTTTTTATACAAAAGTAGAAAAAAAAAAACGAAAAAAAAAAAGAAAGAAATTTTATGACGAATTTATGTGGCTTAATTCGTAAAACTTTTTGAAACTAATTCACGAATATTGCAATAAATATCATTAACATCAGTTTTTAAATTAAGAATTCCAAACGAGGCTACTGACAAGAACGTTAATCAAATTTTTCACATACTTATTACTGTACTTATTAAACAAATAAAAGCTAGCTCATGACTATAACCAATATAAAAAAAATGTGATATAAAATAGTGTATACTTGAAACGAAGCTTGTATGTGTAATGACTTATTTTGCTCTACAGTTAAAATTCCATCAAAAGAGCTTCCATATGATTATTGAAGGCTTTTTTGAAGAAACTTTTTAAAGTAAGAATCGACTCATTCCTGCAATGTATTTCCACTCAACACGCATAGTGTAAAAAATTTGATGAAGTATTTTTTATTAATTTAGTGTTATTCATTTATACAAAATCCCTCTTAGATCTTCAACAATATTCTGTGGAGAGTGTTTTTAAAGCGTGTAATGCTCAATTAGACCCTTGTGTTCAATTCACGGGCTAAGTGTTGATTTTTGCAATTCATGGAGACAATGTTAATGTAATTTTTACACTAAAAAAAATAAATAAGCGATTGGTTGCGTTTGATTCCCTAAGTTGAAATTTCTTGACCAAAAGCACCAGTTTTATTGCTGTAAAATTAACCTCATGATAAAAAATCCACACTCCAAAATATAAAATTCTTTATATAGAGAACATGTATTTTTATTTAACATCCAACTAAAATATGTTTTTTCCTGAAATTAATTTTTATTACAATGTATAGTGAAAAAAAAAAAACTCCTCGAAAATATCCCTTTACCCTCAGTAGGACCTCATGCAATCAAGAATATTAATTCTGTTTTCCTAGCTAGAAATAATGCGCAAATCCACGCCGATAATTTTGTTTTGAGATTCTGAAAGCTCAAATCCGTTCGATTATTTAAAATTAGCCGCGCGAGATAGCGCTACTGTAAAAAAATATATATATATGCCCAGTTAACATATTTTCACAAGATTTTTTGTAGATGTCTTATAAGCATCTAATGTCCATCTAAAAGACATCTTTGGGGGTTTTGGGTATAAAATTCCTTGCGTTGCAACGCCAAACGCGTGGACGTCTCGTGAAAATGCACCATAAGGTATACCGCTTTTTGTTTACATTCGCCGAGAGAGCCGGCCTCTCGAGTTACACCGTAAGTTAAAATATTAACGAGTGCGTGTGTAACGTCTTTCGTTGTAAAATGTAATCCGACACTTGTACAACCTTTTGATAGCATTTTTTCTCTGTTCTCCTTGTATTAACCCGAGATCGTATCATAACGTTCCTGTTTATCCGCAACTGTCGTCGTTTTTCGAATTTTTCCCCGCCGGAACGTGTCAAGCGCATGGTTTTGTTTTTCCTTGTTGATTCTTGTTTGTTAAACAATGTCTGTCGAACTATAGCCCTTCGAGCGCAACGTAACATTGTAAAACCAAAAAAGTACACAAGTAAGGATGGCCGAGTCGGTGCCGACGACGACCTTCTCGTTTCGCATGTTTGACATGTACCGGCGCTTCGTCGAGCTCCTTCAGCTGAACCCGATGTTCCTAGGGGAGTTCAAGACCGGCAACCCGCACACCGACACCTGCAAGCAGCTCATCAGGCGAACCTTCCTACAGAGACAGTCCGAGGAGCGGACGAGCAGTCTAGTCAAGTACTTGAAAGAAAATGCGATTGTCATTGCTCAGCACGCCGAGCAAGTGCCCGACAATTGGAAGGATGCCATCAAGTACACGAACGACTGTATCAGGAATGTGAAAAAGGTACTGCAGGACAAGGGTATCACGATCAAGACCTTTTGGCCTGATCAGAGAAGCGTTGATAGTCTCAGTGGTGAGATCGCTGCTGTTTTGCATGGTGAGCGGTTTACGGATTTACAGTTGCAAGCTATCAAGGATTACTTGATGTTCGACCTCAAGAATCCCAAGAAGATCATCGTAAGGATACTTTTTTATTTGTACTAATTTTTTGTGATTATTTTTTTTTTTTTTCTTCAACTATTTGGAATTTTTGTTTCAGTTGTCAAGCACACCCACGACTTCCAAGTTTAGGAAGAAAAATGCAGCAAAAGCTGTCAAGGTTGAGAGCCCTCGGTTGGGCCAAGACAAAACTCCCAAGCTAAAAATGATGATAAGGAGAGTGTCTAATCAAAATTCGCCTTTGGAAGGCTATGTCACGTGTAGCGGTGGATCTGCAAAAGTTCACAATCAACAGGTGGTTAGGCCAAAGAGGCTGGAAAATAAACAAGTGGAATATTCAATGATGAGTTGTGATTCGGTGTCTATGAAACTGTCGCAGTTTAGTGGTGTAAACTCTGATGATGAGCCCATGTACGATACTGCTAATGGGTCTTCAGAAAATTGGATGACCAGCTTATACAAAACTCCAAAAAACGTATCCAACATACCTGACAAATGTATTAAGCAAATATCGCAGAATTCATATTACGATGATTCAATGGGTAACATACATTTGATTACTGTTCTCAGGGTTTTTAAAACATTTTTATTCGATTTTAGTATGCTATTTTATTGAAATTTTTCCTTTTTGAGGATGTTAAAAGTATTGAAATTAAATATTTTACAATTTTATAGTGGCAGATCTAAATGAAAGCTCGATAAAAGTTGAAAAAGATGAAGATTGTTTTACAAATACACCCGTTGATTATACGCGAAGTTCAAAAAGAAAAAATCCATTCAATGAACATCATGCTTTTGCTGAGAGCAGAGCTACAAAATTTATTTCCATCGACTCTCTACCTACACAAAATGTAACTATGCCTGTTATTGATTGATAATTAAAATATTTTTCATTCTTGTGATCGAATTTATTCACGTTACAGAATAATTGCGTAACTACGAGCGAAAATCATGATAATGATACTTCTCAGCAATTGCAAGCGGTATGTTTGATTAATATTATGATTTAAAATTACTTTAGATATTTGCATACAAATACGTTTTCAATTTTAGGTAATGGAACCCATCGTTGAAATAACAGAAAAAAATGAAACGATTAATGTTGGAAGTATCAGTCCTGTTATCAATATCAATGATGTATCTTATGAAGAAATGGTGCCTTTCAAAAGAATACAAGCTGACGCTTCATTGGAAGGTACTGAACCCTTTAAAAACGTCGAAGTAAAGCTGGAGTCAGACATCCAAAATACATGCACGAAATGCAAGACTAGACTACATGAAACGGCAGAAAGTATTTTCAAATTAGATAGAAATGAAAAGTATACCTCAGTTGAAAATATGAGGTATTCCGAAGTTCAGAAACTAGTTGAAACTGCAATTGATTTCTGCATAGTTAAAAACGAAGCAAGTCTGGATGAGTTCTTGGTGCTCCGTCGATTTCGTGATAGATTAAGATTGAAAAGCTTGCAAGAGAATGTATAACTATCACGATTAAAACTTAGCATGCGGTTTTTCTGTATTTTTTAGGATATAGTTTTTTATATTTATATTTTTGTACTCAGAAAAAAAATAAGAATGTTATTAAGATGTTCCTGGTCTACGAATAATATTTTCAAGTTATACAAGATAACTTTCAAAATAAACGAGATTTACTTTAAAAACTCGATTTATTAATTAAATTATGATAGAACCCTTTTGAGTTTTTTAAACTATTTTTACAATTTCACCAACAATAATTAGCAACCTCAAACATAGACTGATTTTGAGTAGGCCCTCGTGTTTGAGACTTAGTAGGATTTGATGATTAATCGATTAAGGGTTGACTGTACCATGATTTTTTTTATTTTTTATAAGTAGTAATCAGGGTTATTGTATATAAAAAAGTGTATAAAAAAAATCAGGTGAACTATATTTTACAGAACTACTTGAATTACACTGGGTGCAAAAAAGTATTTAATTTAATTTAATTTTTTCTTTTTTTTTTAAGAAATTAAAAAAAAAAAATAACTCGATGAATATACTTTTTTACACTAAAAATACTCTTTATAATCTAATTCTTATTTGATTGACCAAACAAAACTAATATTAATAAAATACATTTGACGTATCTATAAAAATATATAATTTTTAACAAGCATTTTATCCGCTGCACATCATGCACGCATCAGGGTTTTCACGGGAGCAAACGAGTCTGGCATCTTCTTCGTCTTCATTTTCATCTTGTGTGGTACTATTATTTAAGAGGCTGCCGTTTTTTATAGGCGTTCCATTTGGAAGTTTCGACTTATCTATTGTGAACTGTATGGCATTGGCAGCTGGCTTTGTTCTAAGATAATAGATACCCGTTTTTAATCCCTGGAAAAAAGTGACGAAAAATTAGCCTTTTTATTTAAACACCAAAGATTGGTTAAAAACGAGTGATTATAATATGTTTTACCGCTTGCCAGCCATAGAAGTGCATTGAAGTTAGTTTTTCTGGTGTTGGCTGAGCCATGTGTATGTTGAGAGATTGAGACTGATCAATAAAAGCTCCTCTGTCCGCAGCCATTTTTAAAATTGTCTTTTGAGAAATTTCCCAAACAGTTTTGTACAGCTCTTTTAAGTCATCGGGTATGCAATCAATGTTCTGAAAGCAAGTTACGATAAGTATTTGCTAGCTGTTTGTTTAGTTTTTTTTTTAACTTACTTGAATGGACCCATTGTTAGCTATGATATTGGCCTTCATATCCTCGTCCCAAAGACCTAGATCAGTTAGATCTTTCAAGAGATGAGGATTAACAATCTGGAATTCCCCGGAAAGTACGCGTCTTTGGTAGATATTACTCGTATATGGTTCAACTGACTCATTATTGCCAAGAATTTGGGCCGTCGATGCTGTTGGCATCGGAGCAAGAAGCAGCGAGTTGCGGACCCCGTGTTGGGCTATTTTGGCTTTCAAGGATGACCAGTTCCAAAGATCAGTTGGAGTAACATTCCACATATCATACTGTAAGATCTGCAAGAAGATATCTACAGTAGTCACCCAGTATTTAGAGTATTGTAATTGGCAGTAAAAAATTAATTGTGCTACTTACGCCTTTGCTGACTGGAGAACCTTCATAAGTGGAGTATGGCCCATTTAGTTGAGCCAACTCACAGCTGGCCTCCAGAGCGCCGTAGTACAAGGTTTCGAAAATCTGAATATTGAGCTTTTGAGCTTTTTCACTTTCAAATGGAAAACGCATCAGCAAGAATGCATCTGCCAATCCTTGAATGCCAATACCTGGGGAGAAAAAGCTATACTTATAATATTTGAAATGATTTAGTTTAACCAACGAATTATGGTAACCAAACTTTTTTAATTACCGATTGGCCTGTGCTTGAAATTTGAGTTTCTTGCCTCTTCAACGGGATAGTAATTGAGATCAATGATTCTGTCGAGATTTTTGGTGACGACTTTCGTAACTTCTTTTAATTTACCAAAATCGTAAGACTTTTTATCGTCACTGATGAACATGTTGACGGCAATGGATGCTAAATTGCAAACTGCTACTTCATCCGGTGAGGAGTACTGCACTATCTCGGTACACAAGTTACTGCTTCTGATGGTGCCCAGATTTTGCTGATTCGACTTGCGGTTGCAGTGGTCTTTGTAAAGCATATAAGGCGTTCCAGTTTCAACTTGAGACTTCAGAATAGCCGTCCACAGCGTTCTGGCATCGACTTGCTTCTTGTATTTTTGCCCCTCTTCATATGTGGTGTACAATTTTTCAAACTCAGCGCCCCAAACGTCGGGCAATCCAGGACACTCTTTGGGACACATGAGACTCCACTTTTCATTATTTAAAACTCTTTGCATGAACAAGTCTGGGATCCACAGAGCGTAAAATAGATCCCTTGCTCTACGCTCTTCTTTACCTGTTAAGAAAAAAAATTGACTCTGGAAATCAATCACATAGTTCAAAATCTTTGAATAAACGTACCAGTATTTTTTTTTAGATCAAGGAATTCAAATACATCGGCATGCCATGGCTCCAAGTAAATGGCAAATGCCCCTGGTCTCTTGTTACCTCCCTGATCAACATAGCAGGCTGTATTGTTGAAAACTCTTAGCATTGGAACTAACCCATTTGAAATACCATTGGTACCAGCAATTTTGGTGCCAGTCGCACGAATGTTGTGTACACTGAGACCAATGCCTCCTGCTGATTTACTAATTACGGCACATCTTTTTAAAGTATCAAAAATTCCTTCGATACTGTCGTCTGTCATTGTTAGCAAAAAACAACTGAAAGACCAATGTTTAAAATTATTGTATACAGAAGCTGCAGAAAATTATAGAGTATGTTCAAATTGTACCTGGACATCTGTTGGCGTTGAGTACAGGCAGAAAAAAGCGTTGGAGACGCATGTGTAAAGTAACGCTCAGACATGAAGTTGTAAGTTTCTATAACTTTGTCAAGATCTTCCTTGTGGATGGCAACAGCAACTCGCATTATCATATGCTGAGGACGTTCAACTACTTTATCATTAATTTTTAAAAGATAGCTTCTCTCTAAAGTTTTAAATCCAAAATAATTGTAACCAAAGTCTCTATCATAAATGATGGCAGAATTCAGTCTATCCTTGTGTTTTTGGATGATTTCGTTATACTCTTTACTGATCATTGGGGTATGTTCTTTGGTGACAGGATTAATCATTTCATGTAAATCTGACATTACATCTGAAACATAACAGAACATTACATGTGAAGCAAAATCAACATCAATTTTATTTCTCAAACAGACTTAATGATTCATTTTTACCACTGAATACTTTCTTGGTTTCTTTGTGTAAATTTGATACTGCTATTCTGGCGGCCAATATAGCATAATCTGCGTGTTTGGTTGTCATCGTAGCAGCAGTCTCTGCTGCCAGGTTATCAAGTTCCACTGTTGTGACTCCAGAATAAAGCCCATTGATAACGCGAAATGTGATCGCCGTCTACAGAAAACGGTATAATGTAAGTAAAACTGGTAATTTTTTTTTTACTTGCAAACAAAATAATTTGATTTTCAAAAATACTCCATTTTTTATGAAGTTAAAAAAATGATGGTGTCTTGGTTGAAAGGATATTATTTTTAAATGTCACATTTTGTTTGTCTTACTGGATCAATGAAATCCATATCCAAACTATAGCACAGTTTCTGGATTCTTGAAGTGATTTTGTCGAAATGAACTTCCTCGGTATGCCCATCTAAAACAAAAAAAAAGGTGTATCAAAAAATCGAATCAATCCAATAAGATTTGATGGATCCTAGAAACAAAACATGCAATTTAATGAAAAATATCATTTGGAGAAGTACCGTGCTATCGCACGTAGATGTCGACTGAATTGTAGAAAGATTTATATACCAATAAAGAGAGAAGATAAAGGAAAAAACGAAGGTATCATATAAGTAGGAATTATTAAAAGCTACGTTAAAGAGAATAAGTAAAACGATAGTAGCAGCAAAAACCTTTATCACCGAAAACGATTAGCTCCGATTTAAAAATTTTAAAACAAAGGAAATCTAACCTGTAGAATATGCATGCTCTAAAATAGATAAGATCCCAGTACTTACTTCGCTTAACGACGAACATCTTCCCCTTGGCTACCATTTTTTCAAAGATCCAGATTCGATATCCAGAAAGAGATCGGAAGAAGTACTTAAAAAATTACAACTTTAATTTAAGCAAAGTCTACTAAGAACTGCAATAACGCAGTAATAAAAAGACCCAACTGCCTCACATACATCAGTACGTTAACTGGTTAGTTGGCTTTTCGCGGGAAAGACAGCGGTGTTCACTGTGTTCACATGGTGTTCGCGCCTTTTGACAGGCCAACTTCCATTCGATTGGTTGTTGAAAGCCGTGACAGTCCCTGACCTGACCTCTCCGCCGTGTTACTTCAAATTTATTTCTCTGTAATAAATGTATGTATTTTTTATTTAGTGAGATACAATGCTCCATTTTTAGGAGACTCTTCCTGTGGGACTGAACTTCTTCCCTTCGATTGGTTGTTGAAAGCCGTGACAGTCCCTGACCTGACCTCTCCGCCGTGTCGTGTGCAAGAAGTTTATATATAATACTTCAAATTTATTTCTCTGTAATAAATGTATGTATTTTTTATTTAGTGAGATCCAATGCTCCATTCTTAGGAGACTCTTCCTGTGGGACTGAACTTCTTTTTTGAGCCTTTTTTCTTCAGTTGTCTCTTTTCGACAAATCTCGTATATAAATTGATTGTTTATGTAAACTATAAAGTTAAAGGGCTGTGCTTCCGTGAGTTAATGGTAAAAGGTCTAACGTATTGTAATTTTGTAAATATTATGGTAGATTTTATAAGCCGCATAAGATAAGTGGAATTTTTATACTTTTCAAGGTCGATCTACAGGTAAAAGATAAATTGGAAACTTGCCGCAAGTAGCACGATAAATGTCAACTGTTTATCGTCTGTTTATAAAATTATTTGCGGCTGGTTTATAATTAATAAAGTGACTTAACTGTAAATAGCAATAATTATCTGGATCAGCGCCATCTAGCGGTCTTTATTTTTTGGCCAAAAGTGGCTCCCAAAATTCTGAAACCGAGCTTTAGCGCGTAGAGCCATTTAATCAAGTATAAACCAGCCGCAACTCATATTGAAGCTATAAAATAAAAAAATAACAATATATGTGTTTTTGGCGGCAGGTTAACAATCTATTTTCTACAAAAAATCGACCTCCTATGTGTTTATACTTTTAAAGATAAATTTTTGAGCATAAAATAGATTGTTAGCTTGCCGCCAAAAACACACGTATTGTTATTTTTTTATTTTATAGCTTCATTATGAGTTGCGGCTGGTTTATACTTGATTAAATGGCTCTACGCGCTAAAGCTCGGTTTCAGAATTTTAGGGCCACTTTTTAGTTCAGAAATCCCCAACGCTAGATGGCGCTGATCCAAATAACTATTATGACTTACAGTAGAGCCATGTAATTAATTACAAACCAGCCGCAACTAATCCTGTAGATGTAAAATAAAAAGTTAATATTGTTCATGCTATTTGCGGCAAGCGTACAATTTATTTTTTACCCGAAAATTGATATCCAAAAGTGTAGATGTTTTACTTATGTTTAATAAAATCGAACATATGGCATTACTTAGTAGTAATTACTTTAATTACTACACATAACACTCCACGTATATCTTACACCGTGCTCTTTTTACCAGAATGATAAAATCATTGTTAACGTACGTAACTCAACTGCTGGCAGCATTTGCGGAATACAGCCATTATAAATTATAAGTATTGACTTTTCGTGAAAAAGGTGTCAATTATTTTTAAATACGATGACAAAGTGAATTCGCGTGGAATTGTGAGAAAGTTATCAGCACATTTTTTAATTTAAAAAAAAATTCAAATACATCAATGCAAGAATACTTTTAATGTAATTTAATGTAAGTAAAACAAATTCTAATATCATTTATCAGTAAAAATGGGTTATTGGTATACATTACTTAGTGCCTATTAAAATTACTATTTAATAACCCGTCGCGAGCCGATGATCTCATATATATCATATGAGACAAATTTATCAACTCTCTAATGATCATGAATTACATCGATAAGATTTCATTTTTAGTTGAAAGTAAGATGATAGATCGAAACTTTAGAAATCGGTTAAAAAATTTATAATGAGCGCTATTTATTGTCAGGGAGTATTTATTTACTAAAAGATGTTTGTGTTTAAAAAATTTATGAGCATAATTCAATTGTGCTGGTACAAATCGAAGAAAAATCAATACTATAAGTAATTGGATCCATTGTGAGTGTAAGCAACAACAATATTGTAAGTATTTTTTTTCAAGCGACATAACTTTTGGCGAGTGTGCCATCTTACCCCCTTAAATAAAATTCACCCCGCTCTCCCCTCCTTATGTAGGTAAAAATGATAAACATTAATTAAAGAAAAAGATGCGTAATTTATTGGCATATGACACTAGAAAATTAATTAAGCGTCGTTGCTGTGGTCATTTTCGGGCTGTTTACTACCCTTAAAGGTTTTAGGCCATTCAAAGGAAATCTGGTATAGATTAATACATATTAGCTCTAGGGTAGGTTTGGGGGGTATATAATATACCGATATACGTACACGTACTTAACACAAGGGGTCGGGGTCGATTTCCCTCTCTCCCTACAGCGCAGCCACAGAAAGAGTCAGACAGAGTTGCATGTGTGCGCGCGGGTCCCTCGCGAGAGTCTCCTCGATAATCCGCGGTTTTTTATGCCTAAAAATCATTCAGTCTTGTTTCTAAAAAACAGGGGGGCGGACACCGATACAACAACTGCTGTTGTGTCACACATTACTGTCAGCCAGCGCTAGGAAGGAAGAGGAGGAGGAGGACGACGACGACCAGGAGAAGGAAGCTTATTGTTATTCTTTAGTCGTTGCTACAGCAGCTGCTCCAAAAATGGTGAGTGTCTGGTATACAAGCCAAATAATTTCCTTCCTTCCTTCCTTCGTTTTTTTTTTTTTTTTTTTTCTTTCCACTGATGAAGTGATTTGCAACAATATATTGTCCCTCACCCTTTCTTTTATACTTACTCTTTTGACTTATTCCTCCACGGACATTCCGTGCATGCACGGCACACTGATATACCGTGCATGTGCACTCACTGAATCAAACATTTGAAACATATTTTATTTGTTCATCTGAGTTTTTTTCTTTTTTATATGTACAGTCTTTCGGAGAAAAGTTGGCTGCTATCATGCAGAGGCCGGGACAGGACCCATCCCCCAAGGACGATGTGCCCTGGTACCTCAAGTACGCAGGACGTGCATTGGGCACTGTTGGCAGTTTCAGTAATCATACACTTTTTATGTTTTGTTTCTCTCTATGCTGTCAGCTTTAGAACAGTGACATCCTTGTACTTATAAGTAATTTCCTATGTTCCCTGTTTGACATTCAAAAGTTTTCTCCAGTAGCGTCTTGGTGTCTGTGAATTTTCAGCCTACAAAACTCACGCTACTGAGTAATTTTTATCCTCATCCATGGGCTTTGTGATTAATACATCAAAGTCTAAATTTAAACTGCAGAGTTCTTTGTTTTGCTTCTTTGTATGTCTGATGCTCTTTTGGATGTATGCTCATGTTTATTAAAGTAATTTAACGAAAAGCTAACTCAATCATTATGCATTTTAGTTGCAATATTTTTGGGAGCATGGAATTGTGCTGGAATTTTACTGGCACAAGTGAGCTGCTTCCTAAGTGGCCTGTGGCAGATGGTTGCCGGATTTTTAGTTATTACAATCGAGGCACCTTGTTGTTGTATGTTCATTGACTTTGTTCAACAGTTGAGCGACTGGGTGGACAAAAGACCGTATTGGAATAGAGCAGCTGCTTATTGTGGGTATGTATTTCAAAAGGAAACGTACATGTACATATGCACATAACGCTAAAGCAATTTTGTTTTTTACACATCTACTTGTTACATAATAAATTTACATTTTACACTCACCTTAGTTTTTCACACTGATAATCTTGCTTATTATTATTACAGTCTAGCGATACCTGCAATCTTCCTATGTCCGGGTCCAAGTACTATATTTGGTAGTGGTCTGATATTTGCAACTGGTATAATTTATGGAATGATGTCTATTGGCAAAAAGTAAGTAGAAATTTTTTTATACTAAGTTTTTTTTTTTTTTTTTTTC